AGTATTAAATTTGAAAATTAAAAACTAAACTGAAAATTAAAAATGTATTAATTTGAAATTTAAAACTTTAAATTTTATATTACAACAATCCCCCCACAAGTTTTAGGGTGTGTTCGGTGGAGATCAAAATTGGATTAAAATTGAAAAATTAGCCTTTATTGTTGAATTTTATTAGACGAGTGGGACCCAATAACGACTATATTTTCAATTTTAATTGGATTTTATGCTTAGCCAAACGAGCTCCTACACTTTCAAAATAGATAACTATATATAATGGTGGCAATATAATATTGTGCAATAGGTGTATGTGTCTTTAGGACTTGAACCTCACTCAGTAACAACAATTTCCATTTGAGGGAGTCATAATGGACTAAGCCTTGAATTATGTCCCTTTAGCCAAATTTCAATTGTCCCACGCACAGTATCGATTTAGGCTCAATTTGTAGCGGCTAACTCTGTTAATGGCTTTACGCTCTAATCTTTTAAGAATAATACACATTGAAAAAATAATTCCAACATAGAAAATCAGCGTGTTTCCATGCTTTAATAACCATTGTGTATTTTTATCAATAGCATTTGCTTCTGTCTATGCAGGACAATCTTCACGTAAAGATTTCACAAATTCAGCATAGTCAGGAAGAACAGTATCTTCTGTTGCCAACGTTTGAAACCTATGCCGTTGAATTTCTCCAACTTTTCATGTTGAGACGCTGGTGACATTACAAACGGATTAGACGCAAAAGTTTTTCCAATCGCTTCACTAGTTTTTTCAGTTGAACTAATCATTTTCCGTAAAACAACAATCATAGAGAAACTCAATCAATATTACAATATTGAAACCACGTAATAAAGTTATGTAAAAGAAATGTAGAAGAAAAGAAAATATGTCTTAAGGTTGTTGTCAAATTAATGAAGTACAATCAAAAGAAAGAAAATAAGAGTGACGATGAAGCGAGGTATACCGTAGCTAATCCCCTTAAAACAGATTCCACCCCTGCACTTGTACCAACACGATAATTGGACATTTGTCTTCCAAGATAAATTCTTCTTCCAAAGTAGGTATTGCACTATACCAACTTTGTTAGTCGAACCAAAGTATAGACAATATTTTTCTTGGATGGAATAGACACGAATTAAAAACTCGAACGAAGTTTTATTTCTGAAAATAATTCCAACAGAATTTTATTTCAACGAAATAAAAAGATCGGAATTTTTGAAGCCATGAGAGAAATAGAAATCAATAATAATTTGAATTGTTTTGGTGTAGGAAAAAATGGAACTAAAGGTCTCTATTTAAAGATTTTCAAGTGACTTGTTGAAATGTTTCATTTGTTAACATAAACCACACATTTCACATTAAATGGTGTAGTATGCAGGTTTTCATTGAAATGTTGCTTTTCTTAACATAGACCACACATTTTCACAAGGTTGGCTCCGAGAGTTTTGTGGCCCCAGGCGAGTAATTATTTTGAGGTCCTTAATTTTATTTTTTTGAGGTCCTTAATAATTAAATATTTAATAAATAATATATTTATATTTAAACGAAGACGGTGTACAATCTAAAAATATATCTTAGAGCCTTATGGATTAATTTTTCATAATATTTAACATTCTCATATTTTGAGACGCAAAATCAAACTACTAACATTAAGTATTTTCAACCCCGTTTACATTCACTGTATCTATACTGATTATTCACATAGATTCATTGGTGAATCGCCAACGAAAACTAGCCTCTTTCCGCTAATTAATTGGAGCATTTTGGTTTGCATTAAACCTATTGGATATAACCATGAAAGCATAATTATTTAACATTTTCTTACTTAAACGACAACAATTCACGATAAAATGAGGTAACATATGAGTCCAACATTGAGGATGTCTAGAGTCTGCATCTCCATTAAATGTAATTTTTGTCAATTCTTCCATTGGCTAAACAATTAAAACCTTCAACTATAAATGGACAACGGATGTTCGTATACAAGGGACAACTTGCATAAAAAACTCATATCCCATTTGTAATATCACAACATCTCTCGTTCTTCTTCTCGATCCTAGTCTCACACGAATTTTTCGAAATATGTTCTTGCCCATTACTGCTTACCCCATCATCCCTATCAATTTTCTCTTCTAAATCTTGAGATTCTGCAGTTTCAAATGATATTACATGACCCAATTCTTTAAATTCATCAATTGATAACCTACTCATATTTGTAATATCCACACTATCTTAAATAAGATACTCGCTATATGAAGTAAAAGACAAATTACCGGACAAAAATCATTACTTCTCATTTTCTGGGCAGCTTCAAAACTAGCAAAATCTGCAGCAAAATCAGCTTCCCTCAAATAGGTTATTGCAAAAAATTTCTTCCTGAAATGGAGAGGTGGATTTAATGATCCGGGCCCCCTCAAACTTGAGGCCTTAGGCCAGATTCAGAGCATGGCAACTGTGATGAAATTCCTGAACTCTTTCTTGCTTATGCGGATATGTTAATGAATTGACGGAATATCATTTTCTTTTACTGCCACATCTCAAATTAATGTTGATTATTATTTTATTCACATAGTCAAATATTTCACATGAATAAATTTTAATTATTTCCTATAGATTTGGAACTTCCACTTTGCTTGAGTCAACAAAAATGTTCCACTTGTGCGTCTATGATTTCAAGTCTTGATTAAAATCTTGTTCGTGGAAAGGCAGAACCCGATTTCAAAAAAAAAAAAAATTTTAAAAATTTTTATATTTTTGTGAAAAATAATAATGTATAGAATTGCACTCTATTTTTTTCTTTGCCAAGCTGAAGATTCCGCCGGCCGAGGATCTTGAAGCGGTTAGGTATATTCCCAGAAAGTTGGTTGTCATTCAAACAAAGTGCTAAAAAGTGTAATCAGCTTCCCAATTTCCTTCGGGATCTCCCCATATAGCTTGTTTAAAGAACGATCGAGTAGATGTAGTTAACTTAAATTTCCAAATTCTAGAGGAATGCATCCTGCTAGGCTGTGCTTTGTAATTTTCTGACTTGGTAGCTTCTTGCTACTACACCAGTTGCTGGAGAGTTCACCTTAGAATTTATTGTTGCGTAGATCCATGAATGTCAAATTTGGATAGACCCCATATTCTTCGGAGATATTCCCAGAAAACCGGTTGCGTTCAAACCGGACTTTGATAAGACTGGAGCAGTTTTTTAAGCTTGGAGCGATTGGTCGTGAAAGTTTATTGGAATGCACAGCTAATCTTTCTAGTACTTCACCACCACATACATAACTCTCGCAAATGACCAGTGTAGACATAAAAAAATAATAATAATGATAAAATAAATAAATAATGGATTTGGTC